ATTTAGCTAGTTGAGATTAAAAAGCAAAGAAGAGCATTCAAAAAAAAAAAAAAGCAAAAACTATGTTCAAAGTCCCATGACTTTGAGTGTGATGTATCCAAGGAATCTGAAATTGTAGGGGGAGGAGTGGGAAAATGTGAGGCAGCAGAAGTCACCAGACCCCAGTAAGTCACATTCAGAAGGGTCACATTGAGTCGGGGGCTAAACCTAAGAGTAATGGTAAGAGTGGTTTGATCAAATTGCTTATTAGAAATACTGCTCTCAGTGCTGTGTAGAGAATGCAGGGCAAGAATGGAATCAGGAACGCCAGGAAACAGATTTGTCTTGGTCCAGGTGGGAAAGGACAAAATGTCACAGGCTGAACTGCTGAGGAAGCAAACCTGAGGAGGTCAGCATGCTGGTGACATATGATGGAGTAGCCTGGGATTCCGTCCCTGCAAAAGGGCAGGAAGCAGGATTGGGGGGAGGGAGACCTCCCCAATACCAAAGATGCTTTGAAGTTGTCCTGACCCTCCCCTCTGAACTGGGAGAGCTGGGGGTGGGGCTTCCCTGCCATGGTGGTCAGTCCCCTGGTGCAGCGGCTCTAGCTAATCTACTTGCAACTGGATGGAAGTTGCAAGAAATTTGCAGGTAGAACTGGCAGAACTTGGAGACAGAGTATGTGCAGGGGCAGAAAGACAAGGAAACATGGAAGATGATACCTGTGTTTCCAGCTCTTATAACAATGAATATTCATGCCATGTTTTTAGACAGTTTTGTCGATAAGTTAGATAAATAAATACATCTATACCTCAGAGGCCAGGTCCAGGCTGAGGATCAAAATCTGGAAGCAATCCATGGGTCAGGCATATGGAAAATCTGGGTCACACAAGAATCACCCCAAGAGAGAGGAGGATGCAGAATCTTGGTGAAGTTTTGAGTAAGGGCGATTATTAAGGTGAGTTCTGTGAGTCTCTCATCCTCGTGCATGGTACATAGTAAAAAGTCAGTAAATCTTTACTGTCATAATAATAACTTTTTATTAGCTAGGGAAATGGCCTACAACAAAGGTGTGATACACACGCCTGCAAATCCGCAGTCATGGCTGTCAGCACGTAGGGCTTCCCTCCTGGCAGCACTTGGGGGCGGCTGTGGTCTCCTTTCTGTCCTTTGTTCTCCTCACTTCACTTCCCAGTAGACACAGAGTCCCCTCAACTCTCATGGCATTTCTTCCTGGATTATTTGGAACTCTCCTAACTTCTCTTCTTGCTCCTTCTTCCTTGCTTGTCTCCCTAAAATTTATTCTCTACCAAGTGATGACAGTTATCTTTTAAAATTCTAAGTAAAATCATGCCATTTCTCGGCTTCAAGTTCTCTAACAGCTAATTACCTCATGCAAGGTGAAAACTAAGTGTGCCACAAAGCCTGTGGGGTTGGTGCACCCTGAGCCTGCCCTCCCTTACCACCTCCCCATCCTCACCTGTCTTCTATTCCTCCAGGGTCACTCTGCCCCAACCACAATTGCCCCTGCCTACTTCTCACACATGGAGGTATACTCTTGTCTTCAGGCTTCTGCCCCTGTGTTCCCTCTGCCTAAAATGCCCTTCCTGTAGATGTCCCCATAGCTCACTCCTACCTCCTTCAGGACTTTGCACGATATCGTATTAAAGACATCACCCTCAATACACCTGTGATCCCTGCTACACAGGAGGATCTTGAGTTTGAGACTAGCCCAGGAAAAGTGAGACTCTAGCTCAAAAACAATAAAATAAATAAATAAATAAAAGCCTGTCTTGAAGGAAAATGTTTGTGTGCAGTTGAAATAATTGGATTACTTTGTATAATGTTGTTACCTGATTTCCAAAATTAACTTGTGTCTGTTTAAAAACAGGGTTTTATTTTTGAAAATTTATCAACTATCTAAAATTATATCCCGGAGGGCATCCATACATAGAGGATTTGTTCTAGCAATGTGTATTTATTATGTGCCACAATGATGTGTTTCTTTCTTTCTTTGCTGTACTGGGATTTGAACTCAGGGCCTCACGCTTGCAAGGCAGTGCTCCACCACTTGAGCCACTCCACCAACCCATGATTTCTTTGTCTATGATTGAAAATCCTGGAAAAGTCCTTGTTTAACTTGAGTGTTAGTCTTGAGTCTATTATTTTAGTAAAACATTTCCTTTGGTTTTGGAAGGTATATGTGTTTATATATCAGGTACCAGTATTTATGTAGGAATAATACTCTTATAAAGGAAGAGGGCTTTTTAATTAATTAAAAAAGATATGGATTATGTTAAAACAAACAAAAAAGATACCACCCTCAACCTCACTCACCTCCCACTGTCAGACAGCTCTGCTTCATTTTCACCTGTGCAGTTCACTACTTCCTGAAATCATGGATATTATGCACACACATTTTTCTAATGTCTCTCTTCCAATAAAATGTAAATTTCATTAGGGTAAAGTAGCTTTTTGTTTTATTTTGAAACAGGGTTTCACAAAGTAGCCCAGGCTGGTTTTAAACTCTAGATCCCCCTGCTCACTACTTCTCCAGAGGGTGTCCATAACACCTACCTCTTTCTTTAGATTTTTGACTGGTTTGGTTTCATGTTTTATTTCCAATGCATAAAAAAGCTTAGACTAATAATACACATTTACTAAATATTGATTGAATAAATGAGTGGACGAGGACAGAATGGATACGTGAGAAGTCTCTCCCTCAGTTTTCTAGTGAGCACGCTCCCTCTGTGTATTTTACAGATCTGACGTGAGTAGATTAGAAGGAAACAAAGACCTGTTGGCCTGCTTTCTTGAAGGACTGGGAAGTAGACCAGGTATTAGGTCCAGAAAAAGAAGTTTCTGGACCTTCAAAGCTCATATGTAACATAACTCCACACGTCAGTTGGGGACCTTGGCTATCTGAATCTTGTGGCTGGCAGGAATAATAACTTTAAATTCTTTTAAAGAAAGTATCACTTGGCCTCTGTCTGGGTGATTCCAAATAAACCTAAGACAAAAGGTCAACTCATTCCTTTTGGGTATGAAGTACAGCACCTGGCTGACTTTTCCTGCTTGCGTTTTTGGTAGCTATTGTCAGTACAGGCACAAGCCTGAGGAGATGGCATCCACTGTGTTATTATTAGTAAGCCATAACAGTTTTATTCAGCAATTTTCTTTTTTTATTTATAAGCTTTTATAGTTTATTTACGCTGAAGTCTGAGAAAAACACATGATTAAAATGTCACACACATCAATAGTTGGAAAAGTTGCCATGTCTGTGGTCTTTGTTGTAATTTGTGTATCAGCTACCAGTACAGAGAGGTTGGGAACAATTTTGTCATTTCTTTCCAGTGACAGGTGCCTTTTGTATTTTAGCTTGAACTGTCAGTAGGTCCTGCTGTCCTGGTGCCTGGTGTTTTCAAAGAAAATGTTCCTTTTTCTCCCAAACAGGCCTGGATGCTCCCAGGAATCTCCGACGTGTCTCCCAGACAGACAACAGCATCACCTTGGAGTGGAGGAATGTCAAGGCGGCCATTGACAATTACAGAATTAAGTACACACCCATCTCTAGAGGTGACCATGCTGAAGTTGTTGTTCCAAGGAGTCAACAAGCCACAACCAAAACCACACTCACAGGTGAACACTGTACCCCTGATCCAACAGGCTTAGGGACGTTTGAAGGACAGGAACCTGCTCCCTCACATCCCCATTTTGCAACACTTCAGAGAGAGAAATAAATTCCAGTTCCTGGAATTTCTCTCACTTGAACCACAAGTTAGTTTAAAACACATCTCGGACACTGAGAAATCACAGTGTCCAAAGACCAACCAAAGGCCAATTTTATGATCCTCTGAAAACCCTTTCGGTTCCAGGCTGATCTCAACCTTCTCGTTCTCTCTTAGGTCTCAGGCCAGGAACTGAATATGGGATTGGAGTTTCTGCCGTGAAGGAGGACAAGGAGAGCAATCCAGCGACAATCAATGCTGCCACAGGTAAGGCATACCTAGGATTCCCACCACAAATGAGCAGACGAGATAGGGCTGATGAGGCAGAAACCTACTAAAAGAAAAATGTAGAAGCCCAAAGGAGAAAGGGACCTCAAGGACAGTGGAGCCCAGAGGCCTGCATTCAAAACCAATATAAGCATCCTTATATTGCTAACTAGAGGATGTACAGGACCCTGCTCTATGTACAGGAAAGAGAATGAGGGATTTTTTTTTAAAAGAAAAATTGGAAGAAGAGTATATAAGAAATCCACATTTCTGTTTTTAAATAAGCCATTGTTTAATTAAAACATACCTGGGGGATTTTTTCTTAACCTCCGAAATAACTCCATCAAGCAGATGCTTAGCGGCAGGACCCCAGTTAACCCAGGTCCTACTCTTCTTACCCATTTATTCAGCAATTTTCGACTATCACTTGTACACAGTCTCTGGAAAGTCATGGTTTCAGGTCATGCCCTATCAGCATTTTTCAGCAAACTTGGGCTCTTGAATCAGACACACTCCCAAGTGTTTCCTTGGTCATTTAGTGCTCTCTCAATGGCTCTGGTATTGTCCCTGATAGGAACGTCCACAGGGCACAGATGTGGACTGCCAAATGTTTGCAGTGCACTTTAATAACATCTTCTGTAATTAAAACTTTACTGAACTTGGCAGAACTCTTTGTTTCAGTTGGTGTTTGGAAGGATTTGAAGTTTAAGCTACCTCGTCTATCACTTATTTTAATCTTTCCTGGTCTGGATTCTTTTTGAGAGAAGGGCCCATGCTCATACAATTGTCTGGCCACACGGACTGTGGAAAGAAACATCCAGAGCCCTGTCCTGACCGCTGAGCATGGCTTTGAGTAGCATTTTACAGGAGAGCTGACCTTGGCAAGGCAACTGTTAACTCTGCTGTGATCCTTCTTCCTGGACATCACTCTGATGTCACCGGTGTAATTCGAGCCTGGGCTTCATTCCCACTTTAAATAGCAGTCCCGGAATGATTCTGCTTCAGACTCTCTGCGGAGCCTGGGAGCTGAATTCCGGCAGATCCCACATCAATGAAAGCAAAGCAAAGCCACCAAGCCATCGTCATGTCCACGTCGCTGCGAGTAAGCCCCTCCATCCACGGCTACCACTTTGACACAGCCGCAAGGAAGAAAGCTGTGGGCAACATCTTTGAAAACATAGACCAAGAGTCACTACAGAGGCTCTTCAAGAACTCGGGAGACAAGAAAGCTGAGGAGAGAGCCAAGATAATTTTTGCCATAGACCAAGATTTAGAGGAGAAAACACGAGCACTGATGGCCCTGAAGAAGAGGACAAAGGACAAGCTTCTCCAGTTTCTGAAACTGCGCAAATACTCCCTCAAAGTCCACTGAGGACAGCAGGACCATGAAGACCTTATCTGAGTGGACATTTCAGGACCAAGCGTGTTGGTGAGACCCGAACAGAGGCCGCACTTGGCTGCTGTGTGGCCAGCTTCTCCACCAGGACTCAGAAGTGGAAAGGAACACAGCAGACTGGCTGCAAAGACTCCAACCAGCTTCATGCCCTGTGCTGCCGCAGTGGGGGACGCAGTGCCTTTGGTGAGCACTGAAACTTCTGTGCAGGAAAGGACTGGCGTTGGTAGCAGAGGCTGGACAGACGCAGAGAGAGCCGAGACAGCAGATGGCTGGGGAAGATGTGCACCCAGGGCCACTTGCCAGGCCCTAGGACTTAAATTCAAACTGATTCTTTCTTTCTTTCTTCCTTCCTTTCTCTCTCTCTCTCTCTCTTTCTGTCTCTCTCTTTCTTGCTATCAAACTGGGTAGGGAGTAGGAGGAGGGAGAAGAAGAGAGAATACCAAATATAAATTGTTCACTGAATTTTTTAGCTGAATGTTCAAAATGTTGTCAAGCCTCAATGTTGTCTATTGCTATAGATTTTTAGAGGTCAGTAATGGATTATTTATTTGCATTTGGGACAGTGCCTAAGAAAGCACACAAGGCGTGAAGTATAAGTTCAAGGGCTGATAGGCTTTCCACAACTTAGTAAAACCCATGCCACTTTCTGGCTTGTGTGTAAAGGGCTTTTATACATTCCAAAGAACGGGGTCCTTCATAAATCTGAAGTACTGTGAAAAATTTTACAATGTTTTTTATCTTCTGACTAATGCTAAAATATAATGTAATTAAAATCTTTACAGTTGCTGTAGCAAGCATTAGAAAGTAAATGTGGAATGTGATATTCGAAATAGCTCATGAAGATGCTATGGCTTTATAATTTATTCTACAAGTGCATGCAACTCTAATAAATTATTATAAAGTTAGCTGCTCTTGGTCTGTGATGCTTGCTCTCAACGGACGAAGATGTTAACTTTTGATTACTGTGGACTTTTCTGAAGATTTGACTCGAAAAGCAAATGGTGCTTTCAGAGTAGCTCTATGCTGATTCTCAGACCTTTATATGACAATTTCTTACACCAAATACCTGGGAAGTTTCTCTGTCCCCACTTTAAAATATAAGGTATAGATGAAAACATTGACAGACCTACTCATCAAAGTTGCTTTTACATGGATTTTAATATTTTTGAAATTTTTCTTCTCTGATGACAGTAGCTATGTACAGGTGTACAGTTATTTCTCCCTAAGCAATATATTTTGGAGTTGAAGTGTGAATTTTGATCAAGAGTCTATGGGTTATCACTGTTTATTTAATTTAAATCCATATGGGAATTACATTACCATCTCTTATTTCCTCATAAAATTATAATAAAATGTTTCTTAGAAGGCATACATTAGTGCCCATTGTGCTTTTCTAACAGAAAGAAACAAAAATTCCCCAGAAATTAAGTGTTTCTTAATCTACAAAGTTTTTTTTTAAATGCTGATTACAGTGAATCAAAATAAGTGAACTATTGGCAACCTTTTGGGAGGGTTACAAGTCAGAATTTTAAATACTAGCACATGCACTGAGCTCCATCCCAGCATCACACACACATTCACACATGTAACACATGCATGCACACACATGCACACACATACATTCAACACATGCACGTGCACATATGCACAAGCAACACATGCGTGCACACTCACACAGAGAACACACAACACATGCATGCACACACAACACATGCGTGCACACACAACACATGCGTGCACACACAACACATATGTGCACACACAACACATACGTGCATGTGTGCACACCTACACACGTGCACACACTCAAAAGGAGCTCCTTTCAGAATTTGTTTGTGAGTGTGTGCATGCACATTTTCCTGGGGGAATATTCATGTTCATCAGATTTGCAAAGTCAGCCGTGACATCAAAACAAGTTAAAAAGCAAGGAGGTAGGGCTTTGACAGGTGGGATGCTCAGGTGGTGTGGCACCCTAGGATTTCAAAGTGGAGGCCATGAAGTCCTCTGCTCACATCTACTGAGTTCAGCTAGCTTAATGTTCTCTGCATGTGTTCAATATGAACAAGCTTCCTTCCCTGATGGGGTCCATCCGTGAAAACCTGTAGTTATTTTCTAGTCAAAGATTGAAGCCTGATGTGGTGGTACACACCTGTAATTCCAGTACTTGAGAGACTGAGGCAGGAGGATGGCGATTTCAAGGCCATCCTGAGCTACATAAGGAGAAAAGGTTGAAGCACATTCTCGATACTGAAAATAGTTCAAGAGATGAATTTATTGGACTGGTGGAGTGGGTTCAAGTGGTAAAGCTCCTGCCTAGCAAACATGAAGTCCTGAGTTCAAACCCCAGTGCCACCAAAACATGCGAACAAAAAGAGTTGAATTTATTATATGTGCCATAACTATTCTACCACAGCTGCTTTCCACAGAGTACGTGCACACTAAACCTCTTTTCCTGTGCGCATGTAACAAATTGTTTTCTTGTAGTATATTATCATTATTTTCTGACTTCAAGACTAAACATGAGAAACGAATTGAAAAGCAATTTGGTTATGACCCATGACAGCATGGAAACATCTTTCCCCTTCATGGAGAGCAAAGGGTGGGATCAATATGATTGTACAGGGTGATTTTTAGCTTCATAATAAATTTATTATTTAATGTCAGGTAAACATAATCATTATTAGAATAGAAGGACTAGAGGACTAGTTCAGTTCAAAATTCCAACTACAATACAGAGACTGCCAAGCAGATTTTAGCACATATCATTGGGATCCTAGAAAAAAGAGCAGTAATGTTAAATAGCTCATTGATAGTATTTGTCTCATCAGGATCATGATAGTAACAACTTTCCTTGATCATTTACTGTTGGCCTGGCATTTGAGTATTTCCGTGTGTGTGTGTGTGTGTGTGTGTGTGTGTGAAATCACTTAGTGAGTACCATGGCAGAAGGGGGAAGTGCATGCATGTACATGGATACATATACAGGTACATCTAATAAAAAGCCAGAGGCACAGGCAAATGAGGAAACTTGGCCAATGAAACAGAGCTCATGAGTGCAGGGGTCAAATCCAGGAAGGTGGCCTTCATTCCTGGCCACTAGGTTTTACTGCTTCATTAGGAGAAAGCAGGCTTCTTTTTTCCTACAAAGTGACAGTGACTTCTGTACTAGTCAGCCAGGAGGCAGGAAGGCATGGCCTCTGGGAATCACTTTTGTCTCATTTGTGTCTGTTTTTTGGCATTTGGACTACACGGGGAAAGTGTCACTTTAATCATTTTCATTGTGACAAGCACTTTTAGATGGAGCTGTATCAGTGCCTTGGAACAAAGGTCTGCTCCCGGCAGCCAAGGCCTTGGTCTGGCAGGTTCCTTGTGTGCGTAAGAAACCATAGATTCAGGATTTTTCTCATTGAATGCATCACCCATCACAGTGGAAGAAGAGGGTTGGGAAAGGTGTCCAGGTTGTGTCTGACATTGTCAGATGGGAATCAGAGGATGCAATTGATATTCCCCTAGGAAGTCCTACCTATTCATGAAAGGTGATTCAGCCATGGTCAGGGAATTTCCTTTCCTTCAGATTCTCTGGTCTACCCTTGACTATACCCAGAAGTTCTCAGCAGGACAGGCCATTAGGAAAGTCCCTTCCTCACACACTGGGGACTGTGGAGTGGGGCAGCACTCACACCTTATCCATCCACACAAACACCTAAAGAGCCCCAGAGTGTGGCGAGGTTGGAGCCAGAAAAGGCTGGAAAATAAATAGGAGGAAGACAGGCGTGTAAACAGGACGCTGTGTGAGATCAGGGCAGAGAGCATCCGTGAGAGCATGAGTGTGCTGTGTCCGTATGTCTCTATGAAGGTGTGCAGGGTGTGTGTGTGTGTGTGTGAGCATGTATGTGTCTGCACCTGTGTATGTGTATGTTAGCAGATTAGCAGGAGGATGGAAATAAATCCAACCCAACCTGGGATATACTGGAAGATTCCATAGGGAACTTTCCCTGTGGAAAGGCAGGACTGGGGAGAGCAGAGCTTATTCCAACCATGGGTACAGCATTTGCAAAGGCAAGGAGACAAGGAAGAGAGGAACAGTTTGGGAGTCTCAGGTCACTGTGATGACGGAGAGGCCTGTGTGATTCTAGTGATAATCACAAAGACAGCTGGGCCTTACATGACAAACCCAAACATTCATTTTATTCTGAAGGTCCAGGGAAGCATTAGGATCTGTCAACAAAGGAGGAACATTTACGGCCTAATGATTACATAGCAGGCTCGGGGAAAAGATCTGATTAACGTATTGAAAAATAAAGCACTGTCTACCCGCTGAAGTCATGGTCAGATTCACAGTGATCCTTCCCTGTGGCTAGCCATTGTCCCAGAGTATAAAGCCAGGCAGGACTTTGCAGGTCTTTGGATAGAAAGAGGTTACGTGCCAGCTCTTTAGCTGAAACAGAAGGGATGGGGGGCGGGGGGTAATGTGCAGATGAGGAGGGAAATTGAATTTTTAAGAAACTGTGACTATGCTGAACTCTTATGCTGGAGCCACATTATTCAGCAGGTATTGTGAAGAAATGGCCACTCAGGTCTCTCTTCGCCTGGATCACTAACTCTTCACAATGTTGCCAGCTACTCTGAGCGAAGGTCACAGGCACGGCTAAGTGTATTCTACTTCACAAACGTGGGGAGCATGGCAAGGCCAGTGAGATGTTGGCAAAACTGCTTTATAGAATTTTGGAAGTAAAACCTTGGCTCCACTGAGGTTTTTGCAGTGGTTTACAAAAAGGCTGCTGAACAGTAGAAGGTTTTGGCTCTAGCCACTTCCCCTCTGCCCTGCCCTTCCTCTCTGGCACCTGCTCACAGGTGCACCTGTGGCCTCTGCAGTCACCAGCTGCTCCCTGCTGAGCCTTTGTTTCCTCATCTGTAGACAGCAACAGCCCTGGACAGATGCCACCAGCGTGAGGCTGGAATTTTGAGGGATTCCCAGCTCTGCTTTGGGCAAATTCTTCTTTATGTCTGGGCTTCATCTGTACCAGATGAAAGGAGGTTGACAGGATGGTGTCTGAGACCGTTCAGCTCTCCTAGTACACCAGTGGCGAGTCCTAGAGCACAGTCTTCCATGATGGGTCTTCTTTCTGGACCAGCTACTATTCCATTTGGGTCAGGAATCTCTCCTAAATCCCAGACCATTAGCAATGGTTCCCCACAGGATAATGTCAGGGGAAACATCCAGTGGATGCACCTGGGTTCTAATAGTCTCTTTTTTTCTGGTCATTGTGCCCTCTCCTCTCCTCCACATCCATCAATGATGCAATCATGGCAAGAATACCCATTAATGGTAAGCAACAATCTGTGAGGTTTTAGAAGTTCATATTTCAGCTCTGAGACTTGCTGGTTGTCTAGCCCAGGACCAGGTATTTTTACCAAGCTCCACAATCAACCATAAAAAACATCAGGTTTAGGGAACCATGTTTTAGGTTACACTGGATCTTCAATTACAGGTACATCATAAAATAAGACCAAGAAAGGATTGGATTTTATGGCATTAGAATTTTTTCTTACAGTAAGTAATTTGCCATACATTAAAAGTGATAAACAAGGGCCATAGTACAGGTCTGCAATCTCAGCCAGTTGGGAGGCAGAGATCAGGAGGACTGCAGCTCTAGGCCAGCCTGGGCAAACAATTAGCAAGAAACGTCTGTGTCTCCATCTCCGGTTCCTATGGAGTCATCAGTGCTATTGCATTAGGGCCACTCTGATGACCTTATGGTAACTTAATTTCCTCTTTCAAGGTTCCATCGCCAAATACAGTGACATTCTGAAGTTCTTCAAGATAAGAACTTCAGATAAGAATTCTTGTCTTCAAGATAAGAATTTTGATT